GAACCATCTTTACGCTGTAAGAATCTGACGCTGCCTGACCTTACTTTGTCTCCAAGCGCAGACGTTTCTGCCGTGTCTACGGAGGAAAAGGTTTCGAAAGAGGCAAATGTCTGCGTTGGTGTAGGGAAAAATTTGAAGCTGGTTTTGAAGCTGAATAATCGTCGTCAGTACACTGTTCAGTCAAAAGCAACGAAATGCGACGACGAAAGCATTCACAAGGAGTGCGATGACGTACCTATGGAAAAGGACCCCGCTTCGCCTCGCGTTCCGCCATTGCGACTGCGGCTCACCTCGCTCACTAACAATGATCTAGACAGTTGCGAGTCTGTTTTCGATTCGTCGTCAGGAAGCGATCCCGAGTGCAGCTCGCTGAGCACCGATCACTGGCGGATTCAGGAACTGGAACTAGCGGAAGCGGGTTTATGCGACCGAAGGTCTGACGAGTAGCTGCTGCCGACTTTCTTCGGCTGTGGCCGAAATTCTGTGGTTGTTTTACGAAAGTATTTTTTAGCGCATTTTTGTTTTACTGTTATAAATTCTCGTGGCTAAATTGTGTACGAGATGCAACTTCAAAATGAAAAATAAAGTGTATAGGTACAGCAATGCAGTCTGAGTAGTTTGGATTGTGGAAGAAGATAGTCTGACATGACGGTGTTGCTGAAGCATGAGGAGCAAAACGAGTCAGCGGTATTAATGCCTTTCAGGTTTTATCTTAATCAAATCTCATTTTCAGGTACATAAGGCTCTTCAACGTCAGTAGCATCGCTTCATTCGGTATGCGGTCGGACCACCGAATGTACTCTATTTTCAGTTCGTAATTCGCAACATATTTGGCAGCGTGCCTGGTTTATGACGAACATTGGTAAAGCTTTCCCAAAGCGCTTTATGGACAGTTGTCAACATTTAACTTTCGACGTTTAACCATAGTCTTAACCCACTCTGTGATTGGCGCATATTTCAGTATGCCATCTGACTCTTAGCTGCGTCGTTCATCCACTGTGCGAGATTTTAAAATGAACATCTGAACTTCGTGCAACGACCAGTGCTTGCTGTGTTGTGTGAACATTGCTGCACTGGTCTGGAGCTGATTTTGTAAACATAATACGAGTCCCGATACATTCTCTGCTCCAATTTGGCGTAATTTCCGTAGGGTAAATTTACAATCACTGCTGTTTGGAAAAGTCAGTAAAAACCACCAGTTGTATTAGCGTGAAATACTATATTTGCGGACCCTAGTGATTATACTGGAGTTTATTTTTGTATTCATAAAAAATGTGCTACGATTCCGTAAGTTTTCTAGTAAATTAATTTGTTTTAAAGGCGTCTAACATCCTACCTTGCTCATTGCTTTCATTGAGATAGTGATTGTAGAAATGATGTTTCCTCTGTTGATGTGAAGGTGCCATTTTTGCAACCCTTATGAATTGGAATATCTGTCAGGCTCTTTCTCAAAAGGAGCTTCAGTTTGCAAGTGTTGTACCTCTTCCGTCAGGAATTCACTCACCTACAACTGGCAGCCCATCTAGTTTCTGTTCATTGTTTTATATTCACTTTCATGCTTTTGCTTCGTATTGTTTCGTTTTTGTTCATATTTTATATTCGCGTAGTCGATGTCACCATAACTGAATGCAACGTAGGTCAATTTATTGGACGACTGAATTCTCCCACAGTAGATAGAGTAATGCTCTAAAGCTATGTCATAATTTGAAGGTCTCAGATTTCAAGAAATCATGGATAGATATGTTGACAACGTTACTATAACCAGCCGAATAAAAATAGTTAATTAATGGGATCGAAGATGCCATGAATTACAAGAATTAGAAATTGTTTTAGGATTACAAGCTGTAACTGTTAAAGAGAAGTAAAATGAGCCGTAATTGCATTTAATGGACTAGGTCTGATTTCGCTAAGTTTTGACGTTTATTTTGTGGAATAAATTGGCTAACGATATTCATATATCCAAGTTAATCCGCAACCAGTCAAGCTCTGCATTCAAAGATTGGTCAGTTACTCCAAGTTTCACGAATGACTACTGTGAAATGAGGCACCGTTGTATGTTTAACATAGATTTGCTGAATGGCGATAATTGTGTCAATTAAAGTATTCAAATAATAATGTTCATTTATTCATCTTCCATCGCCGCTT